GCCTGTAGTCCCAGCTACTCGGGAGGCTGAGGCAGGAGAATAGCGTGAACCTGGGAGGTGGAGCTTGCAGTGAGCCGAGATCGTGCCACTGCACTCCAGCCTGGGCGACCTAGCGAGACTCTGTCTCAAAAAGAAAAAAAAAGAAAAACAGAAAATTTTTCTGGCCTTGAGAAACTCAGGACATATTTGGGACAGCCACAGTTGCTAAAAAGTGAGGGGAGAACCCTAGAAAGGAGAAATTCAGAGAGAGGGAAACCCAATGAATATATAAGACAGTCTCCAGCTAAAGATAAAATAACTGAGGCCAGGCATGATGGCTCCTGCCTGTAATCCCAGCACTTTGGGAGGCTGAGGCAGGTGGATCATGAGGTCAGGAGTTCGAGACCAGCCTGGCCAACATAGTGAAACCCCGTCTCTACTAAAAATACAAAAATTAGCTGGCCGTGGTGGCATGCGCCTGTAGTCACTTGTGTGGAGACTTAAATACTTGCATAAAGATCCCTATATAGAGGCTGAGGGTGGAGAATCAATTGAACCCAGGAGGTGGAGGCTGCAGTGAGCCGAGACCGTGCCTTCTACTCCAGCCTGGGTGACAGAGCGAGATTCCATCTCAAAAAAAAAAAAAAGAAAAGATAAAATCACTGAACTGAGATTTGAGTTTCTGCCCCAGACAGGTTTGTGGTATATGTTCAACCAAGTTAATTGCTTACTAAAATAGCAAAAATTGACACACTTTAGAAGAGTCCAGTGTTCCACAATACAATATTCGCAATATCCAGAATACAAAAAAATTACTCAACACACAAAGAACCAGTAAAATGTAACCCATTCTCGTTATTTTTGGCTTCTGGGGATTGCTTTTACTTTTTGTTAAAACAGGTGGGGGATTTACCATCATTTATTTAAGGATATATGTTGTGTTTAATACACTATTTCCAAGTAAAAATTATACAAAGTGTCCTTTTAAAAGGTTGTATCAATATATAGTTAATTCAGCAATGTTTGGAAGTGTTTCTATCACTTAATCATGGTTAAAATTCCATGGGTTAACTAGTATTTCTTTCAGCCTCATAAATTGGACATCTTACTGTACATTTCTCAGCCACACTTACTTCTTTTGTGAATTGGCAGTTAATATATTTCGTCCCTTTTTTTTTTGAGACAGGGTCTCTGTTGCCTAGGCTCACCACAACCTCTACCTCCTGGGCTCAAGTGATCCTTCAACCTCAGCCTCCCGAGTAGCTGGGACTACAGGCATGTGCCACCACACCCAGCTAATTTTTGTATTTTTTATAAAATAAATGGGGTTTCACCATGTTGCCTATGACTTCTCTTGAACTCCTAGGCTCAAGCAATCCACCCACTTCGGCCTCCCAAAAGAGATGGGATTACAGGTGTGAGTCACAGCACCTAGACTTTTTGTCCATTTGCTATAGAATGTTTCTTTCATCTTGATTTATATCGGTTCTTTATCAAGTCTTCCCTTATATGTTGAAATTTATTTTTCAAATTTGGCTTTTATCTTTGTTTACGGTATGTCTCTCCCAAAACAGAAAGTTCTTACAATTTTTTTATATAGTCAAATCTATCATATCTATTATTTAATAGTCTCTGGTTTGGGGACCATAGTTTTCAAGTCAATCTTAATAAATATCATAAAAACACTCACCATGGTAACACTTTTAATGTAGCTTCTGAGATATCACCAAATAGCTTCTGAGAGATCACCAAATGAAACTTAAATTCTATATATAAGAGCCTTATGTATCTACAAAAATATGTACTATATGCAGACAAGGAGTATTTATTTGTTGTCTGTTATGGACTCCTTGCGGCACACTCTTTTCAAACTTTCATGTCTTTATCCTCATACCCTGTACAAATCTCTACTCAAAGGTCAACCTCTTTCTAAATAAAAAAAATATATATATTTTTTATTTTTTTGAGATGGATTCTTGCTCTGTCACCTAGAATGCAGTGGCATGATCTTGGCTCACTGCAACCTCCACCTTCTGGGTTCAAGCAATTCGCTAGCCTCAGCCTCCCAAGCAGCTGGGACTACAGGCGTGTGCCACCACTCCCAGTTAATTTTTGTATTTTAGTAGAGATGGGGTTTCACCATATTGGCCAGGCTGGTCTTGAACTCCTGACCTCAAGGGATCCCCCTGCCTTGGCCTCCCAAAGTGATGGGATTACATGCATGAGCCATCACACCTGGCCATATTTTCTTTTTCTTTTTTTTTTTTTTTTTCTGTGACAGAGTTTTGCTCTTGTTGCCCAGGCTACAGTGCAATGGTGCGATCTTGGCTCACTGCAACCTCCGCCTCCCAGGTTCAAACAATTCTCCTGCCTCAGCCTCCTGAGTAGCTGGGATTACAGGCATGCGCCACTACACCTGGCTAATTTTGTATTTTTAGTAGAGACGGGGTTTCTTCATGTTGGTCAGGCTGGTCTTGAACTCCCGACCTCAGGTGATCCACCCGCTTCAGCCTCCCAAAGTGCTGGGATTACAGGCATAAGCCACTGTGCCTGGCCCATATTTTCTTTAATAACTCCCTTTTCATCATTTTCTTATTTACTATACTTTTCTTTTTCTTTTTTTTTTTTTTGAGATGGAGTCTCGCTCTGTCGCCCAGGTTGGAGTGCAGTGGCCGGATCTCAGCTCACTGCAAGCTCTGCCTCCCAGGTTTATGCCATTCTCCTGCCTCAGCCTCCCGAGTAGCTGGGACTACAGGCGCCCACCACTGCGCCCGGCTAGTTTTTTGTATTTTTTAGTAGAGACAGGGTTTCACCATGTAGGCCAGGATGGTCTGGATCTCCTGACCTCGTGATCCGCCCGTCTCGGCCTCCCAAAGTGCTGGGATTACAGGCTTGAGCCACCGCGCCCGGCCTGAAAATGAATATCTTTTTACACTTTTTATAATATTACACTTAGAAAGAAGAGCTGCAGAAAGATTAGCAGCAAGATTTATGCCTAATGTCAATAGGAGTAAAGCGATTTACTAAACTAGGTAATACCTATAAATGAAGATGAATGCAGAATAGCATGAAAGCCAAATTCTGGGAGACACTTTCATAATGACTTACTTTAAAAGTTTAAAACCCTAAGCAATATTTTTATAAAAACTTTAAAGAAGATTGTATAGAAGTTATTCGAACGAATGAATGAATGCTGACTTCCTAAACAGTCCATCAAACCTAAAGTTTATTAGAACCAACTTGACATTTGATGACACTGAGGAATTACTGTTATTTTTTCAGATGTGAAAATGGTGTTATGGATATGTATTCTTAAAGCTCCTGTATTATAGAGATAATATTTAAAGAGATAAAAATATCTAATTAAATATTTATAGATATATTGTATCCATGATTTGCTTCAAAATAATCCAGTGGCATGGAAAGGGGTAGCGACTGATAATTTAAATGATGAAACAATACCGTCCATATGTGATAACTACTGAGGCTGGCTGTACTTTGCATAACTTTGAGACTATTTTTTTTTTTTTAACATAGGGCATTTAAAAGGAGCAAATAAACTGCTTAAATTGCATGTTTAATAAATGATAGGACAAAAAATGGTAATTTTTACCTGTCAACATTCTGTATCCAAAGCATAAGGCAACTATCAAAACAGTTAATACAGAGACTGATGCCAAAGCAATGATTATTGTCTCATCTCGGTTAAATGAATGAGGTGGACCTAAAAGAAAACAAATTTTGAAACATCATCATTTTTTGAAAAAGTATTTTGTTAAATACTGACAGACTGCCCTTTAGAAAGGCTGTATCAATGTATAATCAAATCAGTAATGTTTTTGCATCAAAGGAAATGAAAGAAAAAATTAGCAAATTTGTGATAATTACAAATTATATTTTTTAATCATACAGACTATTCCATATAGATTTGGAACACTGAAACACCAAGTAGGTGTGCTCCTAATTATTGAAATATCAACTATACCATGAAACAGTGTAGACAGGATAGTATACTATTAAGAGTCTTAGAATCTAATAGTTTTAGAATCACATTTGGTTTTAACTCCTCAATTTCCTCATTTATAAAAACAGTACTCTGTATTTCCCAAGTTAGCTGTAAGATTTAGATGGCAGTCTAAGTACCTAATATGATGTCAAGAATATATTACCTGGCTGGGCACGGTGGCTCATGCCTGTAATCCCAACACTTTGGGAGGCTGCTGCAGGAGGATCACTTGAGGCCAGGAGGTCAAGGCCAGCCTGGACAACATAGCAAAATGCCAGGCATTAAAACAAATTAAAAAAAAAAATTAGTCAGGCATGGTGGCATGCACTCAGGGGGCTATGGTAGGAGGATTGCTTAGGCCCAGGAATTTGAGGCTGCAGTGAGCCATGATTGTACCACTGCACTCCAGCTTGGGTGATGTAGTGAGACTGTTTCTTAAAAAAAAATTAAAGTTTTTTTTAAAAAGCATGTGTTATCTACGCAATAAATGGTAGTTATGTTTATCAATATTGATATTATTATTAATGAAAATAGCATGGCTTTGCAGGTAATTGAATCTAAATTGGACTTGAAGCTCAGTTCTTCCACTTAATATATGACCTTCGGGAAGTTTCTTCACCTATCTGAGCCCAAGTTTACTCACTTGCAGAATGGAATGGGAATACACATAGGTAAATCACAGGGCTATCATGAACATGTAAACATTTTATGTGTTAAGTTCCATTCTGTGGGTCAGATCATGTCTAGAGCAAATACCCTTTAGGATGGATGGCCACCAACTAGAGCATATCCAAAAGACAGCAAGTGCAACTGTGAAGGTATGAGACCTCTGAACTGTGATGGGTAGAAAGAACTGAAAACATCTGATGAGAAAAAAAGAAAACTTGGGAGGATGTGATAGCTGTCTTCACATCAAAAAATGGACTTGATTTGGACCAAGAAAGAATAACCAGTTCCAATTAGTGTATCTTCAAGGATAACAGCCTTTAGTTCAGCATACAGAAAAACATGGCTTATAAATAGACCTGTCTAAAATAGAATGAGTTACCCTATGAAAGAGCTGTTCATTATTTTACTAGACATAGTTATGCAATGTTTGGTAATACTGATCAGAGGCTGTGCTTGATGACTGCCAGCATCTTTATTCATTCTTTGTATTCAATCAAAATCAAGCATGTTATACTCAAATTAGAAGCTTCTATGGCAAAGTAGGATGCCTCTATGGTGAAGAGTTCCTCTAATGGGCAGTCCTGTTTTAATGAATTTATTTGTCTCAATCAAATTAAGTAGAAGTTGCTTATTAAATGTCAAAACTATATTTCTATAGATGGATCTGTTGAAACAACACTGAAATATTCTTAATTTGCAGGCCATTTATTAGATTTTCTTTTTCTTTTTTTTCTTTTTTTTAAGAGAGTCTTGCTCTGTCGCCCAGGCTGAAGTTCAGTGGTGCAATCTCAGCTCACTGCAAACTCCACCTCTCAGACTCAAGCATTCTTGTGCCTCAGCCTCCTGAGTCACTGGGATTATAGATGTGTAGCACCACACCTGGATAATTTTTGTATTTTTAGTAGAGATGGGGTTTCACCATGTTAACCAGACTGGTCTTGAACTCCTGGTCTCAAGTTGATGTGCCCACTTTGGTGTCCCAAAGTGCTGGGATTACAGGTATGAGTCACTGTGCCCAGCCCATTTATTAGATATTAATAGATTTTAACATATTGATCATTGTGCCTCCTTTTAACATACAGAGTAACTTACAGGCAGAAAAGCTACATATAAAACTCATTTTACCACAGTGAGATATTATTTCACATACATTAGCATGGCTACAATTTAAAAAAAAAGAAAATAAAAAGTGCTAGCAAGGATGTGGATAAATCAGAACTCTTGTACATTGCTGGTGGGATATAAAATGGTAAATATACAGTAGAAAACAGTTTGCAAGTTCCTCAAAAAGTTAAACATGGAATCACCATAAGACCCAGCAATTCCACTCCTAGGCATATATTAAAAAGAACCAAAACCAAGTGTTCAAACACAAACTTCCACACACATGTTCACAGCATAACTATTGACAATCCCAGCACATTGGGAGGCTGAGGCAGACGGATCACGAGGTCAGGGGTTTGAGACCAGCCTGACCAACATGGTGAAACCACATCTCTCCTAAAATTACAAAAATTAGCCGGGAATGGTGACGCGTGCCTGTAATCCCAGCTACTCAGGAGACTGAGGCAGGAGAATCACCTGAACCCGGGAGGCAGAGGTTGCAGTGAGCCAAGATCATGCCATTGTACTCCAGCCTGGGCAAGAGAGTGAGACTCCATCTCAAAAAAAAAACAAAAAAAACAAAAAACAAAACAAACTAACTCATTTTTAGAATTTGCTAAACCTAAAAAATAAACTATTTTCAATACATACACACACACGAAACTAAATAATTTATAGATTGATGACTATACAAGGATATTTTATGTGCTTATAGTTTTTCTTTTCCAGAAAATCATATAGTTGTAATGCACAATATATAGACTTTTCAGACTGCCTTCTTTCACTTAGCAATATGTACTTTAGGTTCCTCCATGTCTTTTTGTGGCTTAGTAGTTCATTTCCTTTTATCACTGAATATTATCCATGTCATAGATGTACAACCTCAGCTCACTGCAACCTCCGCCTCCTGGGTTCAAGTGATTTTCCTGCCTCAGCCTCCTAAGTAGCTGGGATTACAGGCACGTGCCACCACACCCGGCTAATTTTTGTATGTTTAGTAGAGACAGGGTTTCACCATGTTGGTCAGGCTGGCCTCGAGCTCCTGAGCTCGTGATCTGCCCACCTCGGCTTCCCAAAGTGCCGGGATTACAGGCATAAGCCACCGCGCCCAGCCAAAAACTGATATTTCTTTAAATGTTTGTTAGAATAAAAAAATTCATAGGTCTAACATGAAACAAAGTTTTGCTACATCCAAATGAGAAAGGCTGAATATTTAAATCTGTTCTTACATTCTTGTGTAATTCAAATAAATATGAGTTAATAAAGATTATCTTAAGTCTTCTCTACAAAAAATAAAGTTAAATATTAAATGTAACATTAATATGGCATTATGGATAAAACTGTTTCTGCAAATGAGTTAAGATATCCAACGTTATAATTCCCAAAAGAACTGAACCATATTACTTTTTTTTTTTTTTTTTTGAGACGGAGTCTCACTCTGTCGCCCAGGCTGGAGTGCAGTGGCCGGATCTCAGCTCACTGCAAGCTCCGCCTCCCGGGTTTACGCCATTCTCCTGCCTCAGCCTCCCGAGTAGCTGGGACTACAGGCGCCCGCCACCTCACCCGGCTAGTTTTTTGTATTTTTAGTAGAGACGGGGTTTCACCATGTTAGCCAGGATGGTCTCGATCTCCTGACCTTGTGATCCGCCCGTCTCGGCCTCCCAAAGTGCTGGGATTACAGGCTTGAGCCACCGCGCCCGGCCCATATTACTTATTTGATAAATGTATTTCAAATTCAACTAGGAATGAGAAGTGATAAGGAATCTAATTTTATTTTTTTTAAATCTAATTTTTAATTCTGAAATATGTGGACATGTTTAAATTTCAATATTTAAAATTTAGATTAATGTTCTTTAAAGGACATTACCAATTAAATAAAATATTAAAATTTTAATGTAACAAAGGTCAGATTTTGGAAAAACCTGAAACACCAAATATTGTACATAAAAGTACAGAATTAGTACAATTAAAAATTTAATAATAAAGATTTTTCCACTAGGATTTAGCTTTCTAGGTTTCTTTTTTTTGCTTTTACTAAATTATGAGAACATTGTATACAGCTAACTAATGTGTATTTTATCAAGCTTTTATTACAAAATAGAAATGATAATTTTCCTAGTCTTTTTCTAGTTGTTGGAAAATGATTTTAGCATTACCCAAATTTTTGGAAACTGGATAAATTTATATAATACTAATATAAATAGTAAAGTTTCTAAAAATGTTTCCTTTTGCAAAATTGTTTTTGTTACTAACATAAACAACAAAAGCTTTTTATAGCCTATGAAGAAAAGCAGTATCTTGGAAACACTAAAAATGATTAACTATATACACGGTGCTTACTTTTTTTTTATTCAGAATAAGAGATACTAAAAAGTATGCTGCTTAAACTACAACCATGACTTAGCCCCTAGAATGTTTATGCTTTACTTCTTGATAAGCTCCTTTAGACTTATTTGGACAGAGATTATTAAAATCATTCTTATACAGCCCGTAAAAAGAAAAACAAAAGCAAAATAAATTGGTGTAGGTATTTCTAAAACTTTTTCATATTTAGAGTTAGATTCCTCTGAGTATCTTTTCAAATTTGTCAACTATGTCCTATTTTTCCATACATTTCTACCTTATGTGTCATTAAAAACATCACTAAGAATCATAACCCAACATTTCCTTAAAAAATTATTTCGACTTTTGTCTCTGGAATTTTCTTTCCATCCACTAACACTGATACTGAAAATTTTAATGCAGATGCTTTCTTGATCATGCCAGAAAGTGCCAATGGAAGGTTGCTCCTTCTAGTTTTAATCTTTTTATTATAAAAAACTTACTACTATACAAAGTGGAGTATACATACAAATTTCAAAGGCCCATCACTAAACGTTAGCAACCATCAACATTTTGTTATCCGATGAAACATTTTCAAACAATTCAACTCATTTGACTTCTCA